GGGGAGGGAGAGAGGCAGACTATGAGATCTTTACTTTAGCAGACAGCATGCAACTGATTAAAACGAATTTATGAAACTACTCAGACTCAGCCAGGTTTCTTGGCACAAATCCGTAATCTCAGCATTCAGGAGGCTGAGGCAGGATTACTGCCATGAATGGAGGCCAGTCGAAACTACACCGCAAATTCAGGGCTTGCCTGGATGATGTGATAAGCCCTACCCAAAAAGATAAAAGGCAAGTTTATCTTATGTGATTTTATTATTACCAACATTATTTTAAAAGTTAAATTGTGGGTGGGGATGTAGCTCACCAGCGCAGCTCAAGCCTGGCAAGTGCAAGGCCCTTTGATTCTTGGTACCAAGAAAGAAAATAAAAAATAAAAGTAAAATTGTGAGAAACCTAACTATTTTTGTTTTTGCTCCCTTCTCCATGCTAGACCTTAGAAACACTTAAAAACCACACTTTAAAAGACTAAACATTAAAAAATAAAAGACGGGGGCTGGGGAGATGGCTCAGTAGAACAAACACTTCCCTGGCAAGTGCAAGGGTCTGAGTTCAATCCCCAGTTCTGCCAAATAAATAAATAAATAAATGACTAACCTAAACACTGTTAATGTTTAATGTTCAGTTTCCATTTGCCAAAATCCAATTTTCTACAACCATGAGTATGCAACATGGTCGTATAAAAAACACAAACAGTGCAATACTCAATGCAAAAAAAATTTCAATTGCAAAAGGCGCACACATTTGCACCACTAATTAACACTTCAAACCATTTACTGTAACTTGTGCTTGTTAAATAAGGTGAATTATGCCTAAACATGCTTTCTTCATCTCACAATCACAAAAAGCGCATAAAGACTTAATACCTGTTCACACTAATTTTAAAAAAATAAACCAATTAACTAGTTGAGCAGAAAGCAAATACCAAATCTCTTAAGCAAACCTGTGGGTAACACATTTGTAAAAACTTTTCAACTGTCTTTCGTATGTTTAAAAAAATCCCTATAGTATTTAAGTAAATATACAAGTCAACAAAAAGACGACAAAAGACAAGGTTAAGTATCACAAATTTAACAAAATTGCAATTTCCTGTAAGACCTAAATTTCCAAAAGCTGTTTTCGGCCTTTAAATTTCACACCAGACACTAGCTAGTTATTAAAATTACTTAGAAAAGAGGTCAGATAAGGTCAACTTTATCTGCCCAGGCAACAAAAACTAACTTGTCTGTGAAGGATTGCAGTTTTCTTCGCCAGCAGTTTTCCAAATAGCTATTCTATTTCCCCATATAAAAGTGTGCAACAATTTCTAAGGATTTGATGTCCACAATCACGTCTACGGTAAGCCCAACAAGCAGTAATACCGCATGATGCGGACTTTCTTCCACACCAGCTGCACCCTGCGGAGCGGGTAGGGAGGCTCGGGAAGTCCACCCGGCGCGCCGCGTACCCCCTATCTATCAAAGAAGGCTCCGGCGGCTCCCCCGCCCAGGGCGCTGCCTTCCCGGACTCCAAGCCCGAGCGCCAGCCGGGTTCCCAGGAGCCCGGTGCACCGGTGCATGTGCGCAACGACAGCAGCAGCGCACGTGCAAGCACCCCCGCCCCCGCCTCCCCCGCGCTCCTCGAGTCTCGAGTTTTCCCGGCCACAGCCGCCTCAAGCTGCAGCTCCGCGACTCGGCCGAACGCCAGGAACCGCGCCACCCCGCGCAGCGACGCGGCCTGAGCGCCCGGGGGCGTGGGGCGCAGCACCCCACCTCGGCAGGCCCAGCCCATGCCCGCGCGTGCCTGGGCTCGGCCGC